TATTTTGAAATACCTGATAACAAACTCCTGAATGCATTCCTGTGACCATCAAGGGTGATGCCTGTAGTGCAAGCTTCTGGAAGTTGTTTTCCATACCTCCTGAAGAAGGGGAGGGTTAGTGGGCAGAGTTGGGATAGAGGGAGGCTTGTTGCTACACAGAACTTTCTCGCCATTAATGCCCAACAATCTTCTGCCCCTGACTGGCCTCTGGACCCTGGACCCTGCCCTCTGGCATTCTTCTGGTAACAGTCATTGTTGTGAGGGGTTTGGTCTGGGGTGTGTGTGTGTGTGTGTGTATGTGACATTGATGCCTTCCAGGGACCAATCATATTTTTGTCCATGAAGTTGCTTATTGATAGTCATAACATGCCGTGGGCTACTGCTTAGATATTTCTTAGACCCTAGGCCTGCTGACTCTTAAGAAATCCAGATTGTTCAGCTACTAGATTCCTGAAATTCCAGAAAATGGGCTTACAACTTTTGTTGATGGAATAACCAGACTTGGTTATCAAGTGTTAATGTAGCCAGAATCTGGCCTCACCCTCCCTCCCCTCTACATTTTTGCTGGAGTATTTTAAAGCAAATTCCAGGGAACTATTATCTCATCTGTAAGTATTTCAGTATGTTTTTCTGACAAATAAAAAGTTTTTAAAAAAAATTTCTGAAGCTGGGGGCGCCTGGGTGGCTCGGTGGGTTAAACCTCTGCCTTTAGCTCAGATCATGGTCTCAGGGTCCTGGGATCGAGCCCCGCTTCGGGCTCTCTGCTTGGCAGGGAGCCTGCTTCCCCCTTTTTCTCTGCCTGTCTCCTTGCCTACTTGTGATCTCAGTCTGTCAAATAAATAAAAATCTTAAAAAAAAAAAAAAAAAGGATTTCTGAACCTGTACAACTGCAAATCTATCCTAACACCTAACAAAATTAACAATAATTCTGTAATATCATTTAATACCCAGTCTTTGTTAAATTTCCTCCCAGTGTCTCAAAAATACTGCTTTTACTTAATATCAGAATTTAAGCAAGGCCTACAAATTTTATTTGCTTCATAGAGTTTTAAGGAAAGTTTTATTGAGATATGGTGCACACACCATATAATTTACACATTTACAGTGTACAGTTCAGTGTTTTTCCATGTATTCGCAAGACTGAGCACCCCCACACAATCTAATTTCAGAGCGCTTTTATCCCTCCTAATAAAAGCCTTGTGTCTCTTAGCAGCCATTCCTCAGTAACCCCACACCCATCCCTGGCCTCTGCAAGTGCTAATCCTAACTATCTCTATAGATTTGCTGCTTCTGAACATTTCCTATGGAAGGGTCTCTTTCAATGGGCTTCTTTCGCTTAGCACAGGGTTTCTATGTTGGCGTTTATATCCTACGTCATTCATTTTTATTGCTGAGTAATGTTCTGTTGTATGGATCAACTACATTTGACATCTCTGTTCATCAGTTGATGGGACATTTGAGTTGTCTCTATCTTTTAGCTGTTAGGAATACTACTATGAGGGCGCCTGGGTGGCTCAGTCGTTGAATGTCTGCCTTTGGCTGGGGTCGTGATCCCAGACCCAGAGTCCTGGAATCGAGCCCTGCATCCAGCTCCTTGCTCAAATGGGGAGACTGCTTCTCCCTCTCCCACTCCCCCTGCTTGTGTTCCCTTTCTCACTATGTCTCTCGCTATCAAATAAATCCTTAAAAAAAGGAAGGAAAGAAAGAAAGAAAGAAAGCATTAAAAAAAAGGAATACTACTATGACATTCATGTACAAATGTTTGGACATGTCTTCATTTTTCCTGGTTACCTGCCTAGGAGTAGAACTGCTGTTTAATATTTTGAGGAAGTACCAGGTTGTTTCCAACAACAGCCGTCCCATTTTATATTCCCCTCAGTAATGCATGACGATTCCAATTTCTTCAGATCCTCACCAACACTTGTTCATCTTTTTTATTGTAGCCACCTAAGTGGGTATATGGTATTGTACTGTAATTTTTTTTTAATTTCCCTGATGGCTACTGAAGTTAAGCATATTTTCATGTGCTTTTGGCCAATTGTGTATCTTCTTCAGAAAAAATGTTTTTATAGATCCCCTCCCCATTTTTTAATTGGGTTGTCTTTTAAATTTTAAGTTGTGAAATTGCTTATGTATTCAGGATACAAGTCCCTTACCAGATATTTAATTTGCAATATTTTCTCCCATTCTGTGGGCTGCTTCTTCACTTTCTTGGTCGTGTCACTTGGAGTTCCAAAGTTTTTATTTTGATGTAGTCCTACTTTTCTTTTCTTTTGCTGAATGTGCTTTCGGTATCATATCTTAAGTGTCACCCTGACTCAAGGTCATAAAGGTTTGTTTCTATATTCTAAAAGTTTAACAATTTTAGCTTAAATGTAGGTCTCTGATCCCTTTTGAGTGAATTTTTGCATTCGGTATGAAGTAGAGGGTCCAACCTCATTGCTTTGCTCATGGATATATGGTTGTCTCAGCACCATTTGTTGAAAAGACTATTCTTTTCCCATTGAAAACCCATTCCCTTTGCTGAAAATCTCCCGGCTGTAAAGGTTAATTTTGAGACTCTCAATTCTATTCCATTGACCTGTCTACTCTTATATCTGTTCTCCACTGTCTTTATTACTGTAGCTTTGTAGTAAATATGTTTTTTGAAACTCTATTAATCTCTTACTGTGTCCTCTTTTTCACCTCTACCAACAAGCCATTTATTTTGCGGGACCTGCATGATTTTTATAGAATTGCCCTAGTTGGCATTGGGCTGATCATGTCCTGGTGGTGTCCCTTACTGTATTCTTCCATCTCTCATTTCGGAAATAATATTTAGATCTCACATCTTAATTAAATTCAGGTTAAATTATATATTATTCTTTCTTGCCAAGAATACTTCCTGTTACATCAATTAGGAGGCATGTGCTGTCTGGTTATCCCACTTTTTTTTTTAAGATTTTTATTTATTTATTTGACAGACAGAGATCACAAGTAGGCAGAGAGGCAGGCAGAGAGAGAGGGGAGGAAGCAGGCTCCCTGCTGAGCAGAGAGCCCGATGCGGGGCTCGATCCCAGGACCCTGAGACCATGACCTGGTCATCCCACTTTTATTAATAATAAAATTGATTAAGTGGATTTGAATCAGACCAAACTATCTCCTATAAAGTTCCCCATCAACTTGTCAGTTGTTGGTTTTAGCAGCCACTCTGGTGTGATTGGCAGAGGTATAAAATGATGATTTGGGGACTCCTTTTATTCCTTCTGTATTTGTTAGCTTTGTTACTTTCCGTTTATCAGTTTTTCAGTAGGAGTTGGTGCCCTAGCCACCTGTTAACATGACCAATTATTATTTTAAAGGAACTTTATGGAATTTTTATATGTCTGTGCTTTTACCCATTGTGGTCATCATTCTTTCTGACACTCTAATTGCCCCATCACATGAAGTTAACTATATGATCTGTAGAATTTACTTGGAAATAATCCAGTGCAGGGGATGGTATGAAGGAGTAGATGAGTCAGGAATGTCTGTGAATTAAAATTGTTGGAACTGGATGGTGGGTTCATGATATTGTTCGATCTTTTTCCTTTGTATGTGGTTTTTAAAAATCATCTGTTATTGGCCAGTAGTTACCCCTTGATGTCAGTCTAGTGTCATTTTGATAGCTTCTTTGATCTCAGGCATAAGAAACCCCAACAACATTCAATACATTTCTTGCTTCAGATTTAGAATCAGTCACTTCTCCAGGGATCCCTGATTCTTTTTAGTGGGAAACAGTATTTGGAGGCTACCTGATCAAGACCCTGGCAATTCCACCAGATAGGCCTTATCCTTAGCTTCCTCAGTGGACACACTAAAAAATGTTTTCCAGAAAAAGAATGAATCAGACATTCAGATCGGTATTTCCAATTCAAATGAAAGACTACCGGGTTTTCATTTGACTTTTTTTTTTTTTTGCTTTATTTTGATCTATTTCATGCTAAAAAGTTTGGTTTCTAACAGCTACTTTTACTTTATCCTAATTATATATGACATCCTACTTCTATATAATGTAATAACCTAATTTTATAGTGTGTGTGTATTTATGTGTTGAGAGGGGAGAAGGTACAGTTTTAAAATAATGTTATCAATATTTAATATGTCCTCTATGGTTCATTTTATCTTTAAAACATGTCTCATTAGAGATGTATAGTCAAAAGACTGTTTTTCATAGTTCTTTGAAATCACTTTTCTTTCTGTGGTTATGCTATCAACTTGATATCCTGTTAAGTCCATTTGTTTCAGCTTGCTTTAGATTTTTAGATGTTGAATTTCTCCCCTCTTTGTCATTTCAAGTGATTCTAAGGTGGTACTGGAACACAAGGGATATCCAGAAGTTTCATTTGCATCCTTGTTCCTTCACCCCGTGTTTCCCTTCTTCCCATAGAGAATCATTTTGATTAGTACTAGATGTATGCTTATATTGTTTTAAAAAATACTTCTATTTTTTAAAGATTTACTTCTGTATTTTAGAGAGAACCAGCGCATGTGAAAGAGTAGGGGGAAGGAAAGAGAGAGAGGGTCTTCAAACTGACTCCCCACTGAGCATGGAGCCCGACGTGGGGTTCGATCTCATGACCCATGAGAGACCTGAGCTGAAACCAAGAATCAGAAGCTTAACCAACTGAGCCACCTGGCACCCCTAAAAATACGTATTAACCATATAAAATGAAAAATGCTTTCCTCCCTGTATCACAAAGGACAGTATATTCTACACTTTTGCATCCTTTGCTTTCCCACTTTACAGTGTATCATGGAAATTCTTTCTTTTTTAACTTTGTTGGTTTGGTCCTTTGTATCAGACTGGTTTTATATTTGTGTGCTCTTTAAGTATATTATGGGATATGGCACTCTGTTCCTAATTGTGTCGTCAAATACTGGGAGAGTTAGTGACTTCACTGAGTTGTACCGAAAGTCTCTTTTCTTTCCTTCTCATCATAGAATAAATGGCTTATTTTTATTTTTGTTCTCTCTCTCAGTCTAAAGGAATTCCTGCCCAAAGAATACATCAAGCAGAGAGGAGCTGAAAAGAGAATATTTCAGGTATTGGAAATGTACAGAACTTTATTATTCTCCTCACTCCCTAACGTCGTCTATTAGTATGAGAGGGGCCTCTGCACGTGCTAGGTTAGTACCCCATACATGGACTCTGCTTCTATAATAAATGATTAGTGACTCCAGAGTGAAGAAGCTGACAAATCTACTTTGGACAGATTTATTATCTTAATCCATACGTTCTTGCTAAAGGTTACTTAGTCCTTCTGAGAAAAAATGTGCATGCATTTAATTTCAAAGGCATTATCTTGATAGTGTCGGAACAAGGTGATTTGCTCTTAAAATGCACTGAAGAAGTAGCTACAAGTAGCTTCTTTGTCCTGATATTTGTTTTTTGAAGCTTAGAATTTGGAAAATGGTGTCTTTTTAAAATTCGGGGTTTTTTCCCCTAAATGTCAGAGAGTTCTTTCTTCCTGGCAAACACTAAGAAAAGCCCTATCATCAATTCTACCATAAAACAATCACTCCAGTGAATCCAAAATATTAAAGTCTTCTTTGGTATTGAAATGTAAATACAAGTTGAAGTAGAAATGTCATGTGTTCACGTGTATAAAATGTACACGGTCTTGATTCCAGGCACTCTGATGTGTAGGCATTTCTATACCCTGCTCTTTGGAAAACCATGTCTTTTGGGTGTATGTTAGAATGATACCTCTCCTGGAGAACATTATTTTAGCTCTCATTGAAAGCGTTGGTTCTGAACCTTTGGGAATGCAGAGTTCTTCCAAAAGTGGATTACACTTTGGATTCTGGTCTGCCATGCTACACGGCATGAATTGTTGTCTGTAGGTATAAAATATCTAGGGAGTTTGGGTTCAAGTTTTCATTAGGAAGCCCTGAATTTGAGCTGTCTCTGTGCTCTGGTCCTTGGTGAGCTGGTACATGTGTCCCAAAGGGGTCTCTGACACAAACGTCAGTGACCCATCATTCGTAGTGACTGTGTGTGCCATATATTGTAAGCACCTCTACCAAGTCCACGTGCTGGCAGAGCTGCAATAACGGGTCCTTGCTGCTGTCACTTGTAGGAGCATAAGAACTGTGGAGAGATGAGTGAAATAGAAGCCAAGGTCAAGTATGTCAAACTCGCCCGATCCCTCCGGACGTATGGTGTGTCCTTTTTCCTGGTGAAGGTAAGTTGGGCAGGGTGCAGGGTGCAGAGGGTTGTTGGCGGGCAAGCTTGCTTTGTGGTCCTGAGACCCCTAGCATTTGCAGAGGTAACATCTGGCCAGTGGTCACCTGAGTTTAGCCCATGGGGCAGACCCGAAGTGTGTAAGCTGTAAGGCTAGTGAGTGAGCCTGGCTGCCTGTGGGCCTCCAGGCACTTGTGTCTTGGCCTGGTACACTGCAGTTCTATAAAGTCACTGAAGGAGTCGTTTATGTCTACTTGTTATCACTTTCCTTTGAAAATGTCTCACTTAAGATTACTAAGAGTGCCCTGGACTAAGTGAAGGCTGTCAATCTCTACATACCGAATGGAATTAATATGGTAAATAGGGTACTTACTTTGTATACTTTCAGGTGGGCTTTGGGATTTTCTGTGGCCTTCAGATCTGATTTCATGGGAATTGTTTGCCTTCCTACTAGAAGGAAAGAGGTGGGTCTTTGAAATTCAAGACTGAGGCCCTCTACGGGTGTTCTTAGGTGGACTGATAAACTTTTTGTAGAGTCTGACCTCGCATATTCTTTTTTTTTTTCAATTTCTTTTCAGCCTAACAGTATTCATTGTTTTTGCACTACACCCAGTGCTCCATGCAATACGTGCCCTCCCCAATACCCACCACCTGGCTCCCCCAACCTCCAACCCCCTGCCCCTTCAAAACCCTCAGGTTGTTTTTCAGAGTCCATAGTCTCTCATGGTTCACCTCCCCCTCCAATTTCCCTCAGCTCCCTTCTGAGGGGAGCTGACCTCACATATTAGTCATCTCACTAATAGGTTTCATTGATTGCCATTTGTTTTGCTGTGACTCTTGGCTTCCTGCCTCTTGCTCTTGGCCCTGGAAGAAAACTACACCATGTGAAGTTTCTCATTTGCTTGAGGCAAAGGAGACTGTTACCAGCTGTGGGGCAGCTGCCCCCAAGGACAGACGTCCCAAGGCCCAAGTCAGGGTCCTTTAAGAAGCGCCCTTTCCTCACTGCTAAAGAGAACTAAAGAAGAAGAAAGTTACACTCCTCTAGGATGTTTGGAGGTAGAGACGCTTTTCTTGACTCTACTCATTGGAGAAAGCTGCTTCATTGAGGGTGAGGAGCAACAAAGATGTTACACTGAAGAAGGGGAAACACTTCTTACTGATGACTTACTTAAACCAGACAGCTCTTGGTCTTATACCCCAGAATGCTGAGTCCCTTGCAAATGATGAAAGCATAGATGACTCACTTTGTTTTTCAGAAAATCATATAGAAGTTGAATTTTTCATATTTAGTGTGAGTTTTAAACTATCAGTGAATTTTTGCCTGGGACTGATGCATTGTAGGTATGAATGGCTCCATTTCCCTGGAATGACTCTGCTGCCTTAGCTGAGGTGAGCCCATCTGACCTGTAGTCACCTACATCCTACTTCATCCTGCTAACTCCCCCATCCTCACCATGAGCAGATGGTGAGATCTGCTTGTTTTAGAAGAAAAAGCTGCTTTTCATTTATTATTCTGAAGAACAGTAGATGGCAGATGAGTTCCAGTACCTCATAGGGACAAAGGTAAAACAAATTTCGAGCATGTCCAGTGCTTCGGTCTCAGTTTCCATGCTTTCTTGAGGTTTTCTATAGTCTTTTATGTATGAAATTCATTCTTATATTCATATTGTTTTCCATCAACCCCATCACACTTGATACAGTCAGTTTCAGTGATGTGCATGTAAGTCAATAAATTTAGGAAAATACGTAGCACACAGCAAACTAAATGTAGTTATGAAAAGCACTTGAACAGCAAGGTCCAGAAAAAAATAAAATGTTCTCCAAGGCTAATTTAGGCCCTGAGAAAAATCTGTCTATGGCTAGAATAATTAGAGGTAGAACACAGATCTTCTGGTTATTGCAAGGTCTTGTAGATTTGGTTCAATGAAAACTTCTTTCACAAAAGTATTTAAGACAAAATAAGAAAGTAGTGGAAATTTCCTTCTTTCATTCCTCTCTCCCTTCCTTTCTCCTTTTCTTCTTTTCAAGTCTTTATTTTTTATTTTTTTAGAAGATTTTATTTATTTATTTATTAGTCCGAGAGAGAGAGAGAGAGAGAGAGAGAGAGAGAGCACGCACAAGCAGGCAGAGCGGCAGGCAGAGGCAGAGAGAGAAGCAGGCTCCCTGCAGAGCAAGGAGCCCGATTTGGGACTCGATCCCAGGACCCTGGGATCATGGCGTGAGCTGAAGGCAGCAGCTTAACCAACTGAGCCACCCGGGCATCCCTATTTTTTATTTTTTTAAACTTACATGCCTTTGAAGAAAGGCCAGGATCAACTTTAGTATACATGTTAGGTATTCAGATTTTGATTTTCTTTAGTTTTATTTTTTGTCACTTTATGGAAGTGAGCGCACTGCCCACTTTAATTTTTTGCTCAGTGGTCTTATTCATATACATTTTATTTTAGAATTTATTTTGATAGGGGCGCATGGCTGGCTCATTTGGTTGAGCATCTGAGTCTTGATCTCAGCTCAGGTTGTAAGATTGAGCTCCATGCTGGGCTGGAGCCTGCTTAGGATTCTCCATCTCCTTTTCCCTCTGCCCCCCACTCATGCATGCACATGTTTGCTCTCTCAAAAAAGAAAATTGATTTTGATAAATAGTTTGTATGACTGCAGTTGTATTATTTTCCAAGTAGTATAGTTGAGAATTCAGGAGTAATTTAATACTATGGACTAATGAACCTTGTAAATCAGATCAATAGGTCAAATAAGATGGTTTCATATACAGTGAACTATCTGGAGAAGAAAGACAGAAAACAATTCCATCTATAATAGTATCAAAAACAATAAATTACTTAGGAATAAATTTAACCAAGCACATGAAAGATCTATATACTAAAAACTTTTAGACGCTGGTGAAAGAAATTAAAGACAATACAAATAAATGGAAAGATATCCCATGTTCATGGATTAGAAGAGCTAATATTAAATGATCCATTCGCTTAGCATAATTTTCAGCCTCCAGATCTCTGTATATGCTATTACAATATATAGTCATTTTAACTTTTAGGTTTATTTTTAAATTGAGTAAATTGTTCAAGTACAAGATATATGTCAAAAACATGAAAAAAACAGTTTGTATGTATTGATAAGTGCAGTCATTTAGAATAGATGATGAAAAGAAATCCTATGCAGAACAGCAGACATGCACAAAAATTATATGGCTTAAAGGATAATAAGTTTTTTAAAGGCATAAGTAACAGATTTCTCTAGAACCCCAACCTAAACATACCATACTATTGAATTGTGGAAGAGTTTCATTGACATCATTTAGGAAGTTAAAAGTGAATGATTCTAGCTTCTCATTCACTACTTCTATAGGCTGTTAGAAATTTAAGTAAGTCATTGAAATTATAATTTCTGAAACATTTAGATATTGATATTGAATACACTTAATCATACCACATGGCCTTAGGATTAATCATAGATAGTCTCAGAGTAGTTAGATATATTTACAGGCACTTCTATCATATTTTTTTCCATATCCATGAAAAAACTGACCCAATATTCAGAGTATTATACTTTGTTGTTATAAAAGAAAGTGCTTGGGGATTGGAGTCAGGAAGATTGGCCTGTCATCCAGGATGTTGACACCCCTATGGGAAATAGCAGAAACTCCTATAACTTTGAGAGATATCCATAACCTCCCTCAGCCTCAGTTTCTTCATCTGGAAAGTGGGAGTGATAATGCCTTATAGAGCTCTAGTGAAGATTAAGTGAGATAATATATGTAAAGAAATGTGGACCCTGGTGAGGGGTGACTGGGTGGCTCAGTCAGTTAAGGGTCTGCCTATGGCTCAGGTCATGATCTTAGGGTCCTGGGATTGAGACTCCCTCTCATAGGAAACCTACTTCTTGCTCTCTTCCCTGCTTGTGCTCTCTCTCCCTCTCTCTCTCTCTCAAATAAATAAAAATCTTAAAGAAAAAAATGTAGTGCCTGAAAAATAAGGCTATTTGATAACTTTTGGATTATCTCTTAACCCTTCTCACATCTCCCTAATCCCTGGCTCCTGAGTCTTCCAACCTGTAATTGCCTTTTAGCACCCATGGCGTAGTGCAAGAGTTGGCAAACTTCTCTAGTAAAAGATCAAATGGTATCTTGGGCTTTATAGGCCATACTGTTCATCTCTGCCCATGTGGCCTAAAAGCAACCATAGGTAATACGTTAATGAACGAACATAGTTAGGTTCCTATAAAGCTTTACTTATAGGTTCTGAAATTCCAATTCCATATAATTTTCACATGTCACATAGTATTAATCCTCTTGTGGGTTTTGGGTTTTTTTTTCCCCTAACCGCTTAAAAATGGAAAATTCACTCTTAGCTCTCAGGCCACAAAAAAGCAGGCAAAAAGCTGGGGTTAGCACGGGCTTTAGTTTGCTAATTCTAATATAGAGAATGTCTATAAGCCATTTAATGAATCCACAGAGAATGGCTTTATGTAACAGTATTCCCAATGGCTAAGAACGTAAGCTTTAAAAAGAAACACCTAGATCTGGATTTGGGCTTTGCCACTTAGTTTTACCTTAGATAAGTTACTTTACCTTCTGTCTATGCATGTTTGCTCACCTATAAAATTGTGCCTTTTTTTGAGGTTTAAATAAGATAATAGAGAAAGGTGGACTATGGCATGGAAGAGCCTAATGAAAGGAAGCTGTGAATGTCTACAGTCTTCCTCTTAGAGTGACTTCTTTTGCATTTTACCTTGATACCCTAGCCAAAACCCCATAAGCAATGGTAAGCCATTTCCCATGGCCTGCAAAGGATTTTGTTTCACTCCAGGAAATTCTTGTGTAAACCTTCTTCCTCATTTATCAATTTGTCTTTTAACTTTCCCTGTAGCTACAGCCAGAGCTCTGAGATGTAAGATACCTGGGGAGCTGACCCTCTTCTCCCCTTAACTACGGAAGCATCACAGAGGGCATTTGGAACCTCTCAGAACTATGAGTTAAGTTGAATA